GGAGGCAGAGGTTGCAGTGAGCCAAGATGGTGCCATTGCACTCCAGTCTGGGCAACACAGCAAGACCCCCTCCCCCCCCCAAAAAAAGGAAATATTGAAATAAATGTCTTTATAAGAATTTGGTAATTATTGGATCAACTGAAATAATAGAAACTGAGAATTGTGAGAGAACTATGGACTCCTGAAGCAGGAATCCTGCTAACAATGATAACTACCATTTATTAAGTACTTTATAGGAACCAAAGATAATTGAGTGACACAGCCAAGATTCAAACCCATGTCTCACTGACTAAAAACCCATGTATATTACATTATGATACATGCCTCTTTTCCCCATAATAAAACCGATTATGGTAAGAGTCCCCAAAAAAGATTAGTGATCACTAATGAAGGAATCCAGAATTATGAGTATTCCCTTCGCCACATTTACTATACCTTACAGGGCTATTTCCAGCTAAGATACTAAAGTATGTTAGTAAGATACTAAAGCATAAAGCTTCCAGCAAGCATCTTAGTAAGATGATGCTGAAAATGTAAATATATATCTGTGTATATTTAATTATCATTTTTATATATACACACACATATATATTATAGACAACATTCTTGAATATGTTAAGGTCTTTCACCTTTATTGTTCTTTATGTAATCTTACTCTATTCCACTGAGTCATCCATTATCTGAAAAAGCATCACTATTCTTATTGCAGAAATGCAATGAGAAAAAAATACAATAATTATATATAATATAATTATTATATGTAATAATTATATAGTACATAATATAATAATTATATATAATGTATATGTACATATATGTATATTGTATAATATATATGAAATATTATGTATAATATTTATATATTTTATGTATAATATATATTTTATATATACACAGTTTCTAACTTAAAACATACTCTTCATTCATTCGTCCATTGAACAAACATTGTTTCAATTATGTGTCAGGTAATAATAGTCTCTTCTAAATACAGCAATGAACAAAGTAGATTTTAAAGCAGAGAGAGGGAGAGAGGGAGAGAGAGAGAGAGAGTGTGTGTGTGTGTGTGTGTGTGTGTGTAAAATAAAGCCAAGTTTTACTGAGGGAAAAGTATTTTCTACATTCCATTTACACATCAACAGCCAATCCTGGATTGAGATCAGAGTTTTATAATTAAGTAGTTATAATTAAATTAAGACCCTTGAAGTATAGAAAGAAAAGAGTATACGGAAGAAGGAAATTTCCATCTGTCAAAAGAAAGAAAGGTAAAAGGAAAAATTTTGCACTACGAAAAAAGAGTGAGAGAAATAAAAGGGCAAAGACATCACACTGGAGTGTCCCAAGATCTTAGGGTAAGGGTTGAGTGGTGACAACACCTGAATAGATTTGGGAGGGAAATCCCAGGGTAAAGAAGCCTTCTTCTTTTTTCTCAGGATGGAGATAAACATGACAAGCCGCTTAGAAAATCTCTGTGTGGAGCAAGATGTAAGGGCTCCTCTAGCAGATCATCCAGAGCTAGAGAAGGGTGTGGAGATAACCTTCTCAAATCCTCCACACTGTAGATTGGTGCAGAGACATCAGCTGGGAGTATCTAGCTATCCGAGGTTCAACACAGACGTGTTAGGGAACCAGGGGACTAGAGTAAGCCTTGAGGCTGGACCAAGGATAAAACAGAAAATAGGAACCTTGAAACTACAAGCCGTGACTGCAAGTTTGTGCCAGAATGATTCCATTAAAAGGTCAGGTGAGGTGTCTCACAATATTGATATGGGAGAGGGGCAGGGAAGTGCTGAGTAGAGAAGGGCAGGTCCCTGGCTAGGGCTCCACGCCGGGCTTGTGCCCAGGGACCTAGATGAGGACAGGTATTTCTGTTTTCCCGCCTAAATATTGCATTTCCCAACACCACCCTGGCCCACCACGCCCCTATCCTGTGCCTATAAAAATCCCAAGACCCTAACGGGGATACACACAAGCGGCTGGATGTTGACAGGAACACGTCGGCGGAAGATACAGTGGCTGGACATCGAGAGGAACACAGTGGACTAACAGCACACACTGACAGATGCCGCAGGCCAGCAGGCCATCAACCAGCGGAACAACGCACAGTTTGGAGGGTGAGGACGAAGGACAGTCCGCTGCTGAGTGACCCGACTCCAGGGGAAAACCATCTTCCCACTCCATTTCCCTTCTGGCTCCCCGCCTTGCTGAGAATTATCGCCACTCAATACATCGTGCACTCATTCTCCAAGCCCCGTGTGATCCAGTTCTGGTACTCCAAGGCAAGAAAACCCTCTGTCCTTGGGATAAGGCACGGGGTCTAACTGAGCTAACACAGCCGCCTACGGATGGCTAAACTAAAAGAGCATACTGTAACACAGGCCCACTGGGGTTTCAGCTGAAAACATTCACCCCTAGACCCTGCCATGGGGTCGGAGCCCCACAGCCTGCCCGTCTGCATGCTCCCCCTAGAGGTTTGAGCAGCGGGGCACCAGAGAATTGAGCCACGCCCCCGTCGCACGCGCTGCGAGCAGGACAAGGGAACTTTTTCTGTTTCAATATTACGGATTTGAGATTACCTCACCCCATTTTCAATGGGCTTCCCCTGTACCCAGACTACCTCAGAAAACGAGATAAGGATACCTCTTGACGGATGAGAGAAAAAGTACAATTGAAGAGTTAAACTTTGAATTGATTGAATATTTACCCAAAAGAGACTGAATTAAACCCAGAGGGAATGATAAATGAATGGGTTATCTAAAATCAGTGCTTTCATCAACCCCAGCATCACTGCAAAAAGCAAAAAGAACCAGTTACAGAAAATAAAAGGTCATGTTCTATATGACATCAGAATTGTTGCATATAAAATTTGAGCCATGCTATATTCTTAAGAGGTGGTGTAATGTACATTGCCATTACTTATTCCTAACAAATCCTGATACCTTTAGACATTTTGGAATTATAAATAGACAACTAAAGTTATAGTTAAGTTCCTAGAATAGGAGGCTCCCATTGACATGGGAGTTCATACCCAGAGAAAGAAAAACTGGATAAACAGCATCCCTTAAAATGCTATCCCGCCACATGTGTTTCTGTCTAGGTGTGCTATGCATTATGCTAAAAATACACGGAAGCTCAAGGAAGGGAAGCATGATCACTGCATACAAGAACACAGTTATTCTCATAATGCAGGGCTGAAAATTCCCGCCAGAAAAATCTTGATTCTCGCTTAATTAATCTGTTTCATTTAATTTTTTTTCTAACTTAGTAAATGGCATCATATTCTAGTAGTAATCACACTTGATTCAAAAATCTAGAAGTCATTTTTGATTCTTCTCTTTTTCTTATCTGCACAGCCAATCCATCACCAAGTCCTGTTAGTTTTTCTTCCCAAATGTAGCTCAAAGTTGCCCACTTCTCCCCTCCATTGTCACTACCATCTCTTTCCCAGACTACTAAAATAGCCTAGCATCCCTGCTAATATTTTTGTCCCTGACAGTTCATTCTCTGTAAGGAATCTAAAGTGATTTAAATTATCTATGAACTCCCTTTATAGTTAGAATGAAAACAAAATCCTTACCATGGCTTGACTCCTGAACTTTATCTCCTGCCCCCACTGTTACCCTCCTCTGGTTCTCTAATCCCTAGCAACATTGACCTCCTCTCTGGTCTTCAAAGTGACCAGTTGTGTTTCCCCACAGAGTTTGTGCAGTTGATATTCCCTCCTTCTTGAAAGTTCTGCCCTGTAGATTTTTACATGGCAAGAAAATCTTTCTTGTCAACTGGATCACAGCTCAATGCCACTTTTTCAAAGAGAACTTCCTGAAGCACCCCAACAAAAGTAGACCTCCTTCCCCCAACGTTCCCTTGTTTGCTTGTTTATGGGTATAAAATCCAGTTATCTCTTTGGAGTGTAAGAGATACAAGATCCTTGAGGGCAAGGGTCTTATGTGAGTCTTGTTCATCAGTATATAGGTATTCTATCAATATTGTTCAATGAATGAATGAGTGAATAAATAAATAGGGTAATGAAAAGGAACGGTTACCTTCTTCCCACTGTTTCCTTTTCACTAACTGGGAGTCATGACACTCCCAGTTTCATCATGACTAGGCAAAGTCACTAGCAATCAGGCAACAAAGTAAAAAAATATATATAGTCTTAAAGAGAAACATGCAAAGGGGTTAAAGGGGAATTAGGAAAGAAAAATCTTAATTTAGGAAAAAGAAGAGGAGACTTCTTTAAAACACCATAGCATCTCCCTCAATGCTGGTCCTTCCAATTCAGAAATATAAAAGGAAACGGCTATGTTTTATGAAGTATTGTGTAAATTGTATTTTCTGAGTTGAAATATATGAAATACACTAGGTAATGTATTACCTAACTGGTGAATCTCAAGAGGATTTACATTACATCAAAGTGAAGATTTCAATCTACCAAGTTCTCATGAAGTAGTATAAGCATGTTAACTGACATGAGATACAATGTAGGATTTCATCTTTTTCACAATTGAAGGATAAACAGGTAATCAGGGTAACGGTGATCAGAAAAAAAATACATTGTTTACATTTCAATAAAAAATTGACCTTAAATAACAGATTTCTTTAAAAATAGCTATTTAAAATGTTTACTAAAATTACTCTGCTCAAGGGACGCTTGAAAGATGGTGACATAAGAGTACTTGTGTAAAACTTCAGAAGTTTAAAATTATATGCTCACATTTATACAAGTTGACTTGTCAATGACTTTTAAGAGTAGAAATTTAGTATAATTATGCATAACACATAATTTTTTGTTTTAATTGCAAAATTATTTCATTTGACTATGATTGACTCACTACATAAAAGGGGAAAAACTTATTTCTTAATAAAAACATATTAACTAGCCTATTAATAATCAGGTTTCTAATGCAGCACCACATTCTGAAATCTAAAAACTGCATTCCTATTATGTTACAGATTAATATCTGTTCTCAGAACTATTTCCAAAAAAAAAAAAAAATTATTACCAGACATAAACTGTGTAATAAAGGATAATTCCATTTGGCTCCAGAGGTGGTTGCCATGACAACTTCACCGTGACACCAGACAACTGTTTTACAGAGAAGTCTTGAGGGGGAGAATCAGGAGCTGAAAAGTTAGGGTATAGAATAATGTATTTTATTAAACATATATAAGAAAAAGTTAACATGGAAATACACACAATTTTTATTATAAACTTTCTGGTAAAGGAATTAGGTTCAGTGCTTTTCTCCAGAAGCACGAGAGACTGTTTATTTTCAAAATGAGATGATAAAGGAAGATTTTGCATGGTGGTATTAGAACATCTGTTTCTGTGATTCAATGGAAAAAAATATTTCATGAGAAAGTAGAACAAGGGGTATGTCACAGTGACTCACCTACTGTTCAAGTACATCTTGGTCAACTGTCATCCTCTAATAAAAATAAAAACTTTATTGAGGGTGAATAAATACACAATAAAAGAGGTCCCTAGACAATAAAAAGAGGTGGGAAAAAAAAATCACACATCCAAGAAGTTGGGAAAGTGATAAGCATAACATTGGGAAAGCAGTTAAAATGACTGACCTCACAAATGAAAACTACATCCCTCAATCTCTGTTGTGTCATTAAAAAGTAAAATAATATCAAACTCTGTTCACTCAGTCTTCAAAATTGAATGGTTTACAAAGGAAATACCAATGTAGCACACAAATAAGAAAATAATGTAGAATCTACTTATAACTCTGCTATAATAGTGTAAAATACAAATACATTTGCTATTTGGCATTGAATAAGTGGTAAAAACATTACTGCAAAATAGTTAGCCAACTTTATACTTCCATTTAGGTAAAACATTTAGAATGGCATTTCTCAGCTGCTGTGTAACACCACAGTAATGTCTTAGAATAATAGAATACAACTTTTTGCATGTAAAAAAGGAAAACACTAAAATTTGGTTCATTGTTACAGTGATGCACGGAATGTGAATTCATAGGTAGCTAATAGAAATTCTGAAAATTTGTTTACATCTTTAAACAATGGCAATTGAAATACAGTTCATGTACAGATCACTATTTCCAACAATTTGGACAGAATCCTGCCTGACTTACTTCATTTTTTTTCTTTTTTACTTCTCTGAATAATCTCAGCTACAGTTGTACGTGTTCCCATGTGTGCATGTTTTCATTATTTTACTAACAATAATTTTCCAAATAATTTTATTGAGCAGCAGAAAGTTTATGAGACAAGTGATAAGGAATAATAGTGATAGCTGTATTTGGTATTTTCATTTGGTTATTTTCACTGGCACTACAATAATGTTGCCATCAAATAATAGTTATCACAGGAATGTATGCATCAATTACAGATGTCTGTTTCCCAAGATAAGAATTATCTCTGAAAATTCTCTTTCATTTGTCAAAACAAAAACCTATAAATATTTCTCCTAGCATCCTTGTAAAATCTGTTTATTGTTTACAAAAAGGACTTCAATAAAAAATGCAGTAACTTAGAAACTAATATGTTGCAACTAACCATTTCTAACATGCTTTAAGATGCTTACGTGGAATACCAGATAAAGGTTGGTGCCTTTAAAAGCTAACCTTCAGTAGATCTCTGAATATTTTATTTTTAATGTAAAACATTTTATTGCTAAGTAAATGTAATTAACATGTCTATCTAAAAAAAAATCACTGCACACCCACTGTAGCAGACTAAGTTTTAATCATTTTGGCATATGTATTCTAAAATGTTTTGGCATATGTATTCTAAAATATAATCTAACAAAATTGAAACTAGAAAAATTAGAACTTTTGCAGTACATTCAATTTGTCATCTCAGAGCATCGCAAGGTAGCTGAGAAGGAACTTCACAGTCTATCGCTCCTCTGCCTGGCATGATCTTTCCGATTTCTCGCCCTCCTTTTTTATTCATTTTCATGTCACAGCTTTGACATAACTTCCACAGCTACACTTTACCTCACACCCCAGAGTAGCTTAGGTCCTTCTTTTGTCCTGGTGAATAATTTGGGGGAACATTTATGCCAGTAATTAAAATCATAAAAATTATTTGTTCACACATTTGTCAAATTTAGGTCTCTTGTTCTAACCACGAGCTGCATGAGGGCAAAGAGTTCCTAATTCCCAAATAGGCAAATTTTCTCAGATCTTTATCCATTCTCGATTTTCTGCAATTTTTCAACCAGGGAGCCTTGTTCTTTATCCTATTCCTTAGAAATTATATGATTTGGCCAAGAATTTAGATGGAACTTTACCTTGAGGAAGCATATTTTTAACGGCCCAGGTAATTCAGATACACAACATACTTTGGAATTATTGACTTGAGTGGTAAAAGCTCTGCCTGCTCAAAATATATGTTCACTACTGGTCTCATTCCATCATAGAAGATCTCAAATTCTTGCCATTAGGACCTTTTGATTAGATTAGTTACATAGAAGTGGGTATTATTTTCAGAAAGACATTGGTAAATTTTTTACTAATATAATCTTAAGTATATATAAGATAGAAAGGAGCACTAACTTTCTTCCCCAGTTTTTAACCATTGACTTACTTGGAAGGATTTTTTTATTAAGATAATTTTAACTTTGAGAGCAAGGAGAATCTATTTATGAAAAAAAACTGGAATTTTGGCAGGTAAATGTGATGGAACAGCAAGCATAGTAAGAAGATGCAATGACTATGGAAAACTGACCCACGGAGGCATCACACTTAGAAACTGGGGCAACCCAGAGAGCCCTAGCCAAGATGCTTTGGTGAAATTCTTTGGTAGAGGTTAAAACATGGAGAGACCTGCAAAAAGAGAAGAGGGATGTGAAGACTTTATTCTTTTAAAAAGAAAGAGAGCAATGCTGGGAAAAGTCTCCATTCCTAGCAGTGTCTAATGCACATTCTGCCCTGGTGAATGATTCTAGACTCTTAACATTCATAGGCTATGGCCTAGCTTTAAGATAGGGAAACTTGACAGAAAGAAAGACGAAAAAAAAAGATACTCCACAAACACGTATGATACTTCCAGGCCTACCCTTCATGGAAACAGAAATTCCTTTTACAGAAAAAAAAAAAAAGTATTCTCTAAATATGCAACGTATAAAATATAAAATGCAAAACCTAATCCCAAATGTATCTTTCAAAAGTTATTTTCTTAGCATAATATATGTCTAACTTGGTAAGGTATCAATGTAAAGTGGCCTCAGTAGTAAAGCTGATTTTATTTGGGTTAGGGAAAGGTATGTTTAAATATTCAACATGAAAGCTACTAACATTGGGGAATAGCATCTTGTCCAATTATGTAGGGAACCTGTACAATAGCCTGATCTCATTATCAAGTTAATCCTTAATATCATAAAAAAGTGCTGAACATTTACATAAACATAATCTGCTTCAAAGTTCATGTTAATGTCTATTCTTAAAAATGTAAAAGTTGAAAAACACAGTCATGACATATATCAGTTAATGTTCAAATCAAATTTTTAGCCTTAAAAATGTCCATGGAAAAACATGACTGACTGTTTTTTACAGAGTACTGATGACTTTAGAAAAATAAAAAGCATTGTATGCCTGATTTCACTGAATGTAAATCTAACATTGCTAGCTTATTTTCCCATGACAATGAAATCGCTGTATAACGCTGGTATGGTACACAACTGATACCCATGACTAGAGGAGTTTTTACATTGTTTCAGTCTATATATGTGTTTCTCGAAATATTATAGAATCAAAGTATATCAATATCCACTATTATATTTACCATCTTCCTCAGTCAGTATGCTTATGGGAGCACTCCGAACTCCTTCACCTTTGAGTGTACTAGCAGACACCTCAATCATATATTGGGTATATTTCTTCAGTCCTAAATAGAAATAAAATAGGTAAGAGGCAAACTATGAAATGGCTCTCAATACAATCTTCCAAAAATAAAAACTAAGTGAAAATGTCATTCTTTGGCAACAGTAGCTCTTATTTATGAAGACAAAATGATATAGGATAAAGTGGAAAAGGACAGATCTACAGTATTCTTTCATGTGACTTGCAATAAACTCCTAGCTTATTTAACCAAAAAGACAAAATTGTAATACCCTGCATGAAAATAATCTCAAACTATTAACATTAAGCTAATATTTGTGGTTACTCTGTTGTTATAAATGCAAATATCCAATATTAGATTTGTTCTTTTACCTTTAATGTTTTGGGTTAAAGACGTTGTATTTATAGTTCTTTCCTCATTTCCATTACTTCTCTTGAGATAAATTGTATATTTTTGTATGATTCCATTGGGACTACTTGGGGGCAGGAATGATAGCTCAATCTCTCCAGAAGAAATATTTTTGTAAGTGATATTTTCTGGTGCACTATCAGGCACTGAAAGAAACAAAAAAATATAGATACATAAAACAATTCCATTCGAAAAATCTATTCTGCTGAAATTGTCACTGAAGCGCACTAGGTTATTTACATGTGAATATTCACTAGAATGCAATGGTAATAAACATCCTGAATGAAGTAAGGTATAAATAAATTATAGGACTTACAACTGTATAAGAAAAATTTTCATTCAAAAGAAAATACTACTATGATTCCACAGAATAACAGTTATAAGATGATACGTTTACTAAAATACTTGGAACTATAGGAACCTGTCTTGTACTGAAGAACACACAGATACAAGAAAGAGAATTTTAAAACACTTAAAACTTGATTCTACTCCTCATTAATGATAATATAAAAAAAGATCAGTAGGTTAGTTTTGGTCGACAACAGGGTCTATGACAAGGCAAGGAGTCCTTCCTAGATGTGAGACTGCATATTATGACCTGGCAGCAAAACCACCTCCCAAGAATATGGGATATCATTAAATAAAACACTGGTTTTCTGTATCTAACATTTTTATATGGAATACATTATACATAAAATGGTTTTCCATGTAAATTTGAGCCCAAAACTATATACAAGATTCCAATTCCGATAAAATATTGGAACAGATACCCTAAATTGAGTGAATATCTTACTTAAAATAACTAAAACTCTGCATAACATTAAGATAAATTTTCTTTAAGAAATTCTGGTGCTGAAAAGAAAGTTAGAATCCAGTGGTGACTGGCCAAAAGAAGTCACAGAAAAACAAACAAGCAAACAAAATGCAAAGACAGAAATCCTGAGAAGGAAGCTGGTACTAAAGCCAGTTTTGCCTTGCAGTAGATTGGTTAATTCTAGTGCCTTTGCATTTGTATAGTAACATCTGTGTAGTGTGTCAGAGAAAGACTATAAAGTCCTGGGGCCAGCTGAAGGATGAGCCATATCTCTACAGAAAGCCCTGAAATCCCAAAAGAATGCAACTGTAACCAGTGTTATTATATTGAACAATTCTAGGGGATACTTTAGAGTCTTCTGCATGTGCCATAGAAGTCTATGTGAATGGTAACTCCTGGTCTTGTGCAATGTGATGCATTCATTCTCAAGGAACAGGAAGTGAGAAATAAACCTGCCATGCAGAGAGGACAGAAAGGAAACCTTTTTTCTCTCTTGCCACTCCACTGGGTGGAGAGATAGAAAAGAAATAAAAATTATGCTGTTTTGGATTTATAAGCCTATCCCCATGATCATATGTTGACTAAATCCATGATACCTATATGTACCCTGAAGAAACCTCTACTTCAGAATTTAAATTAAAATAAAACTGTAGTCCTGAGCTGCTATTACTCCTAAACAACTAGAAGTAAATAAAAATACTTGCTGGAGGAACTCAACTTCAACACAACCCACATAAATTTCTCACAGCTAAAGTTTCAAAGAGTATGAGCTCACGGATAAAATCACTAAACACACAAGCAAATCAGATATCAATAGTGAAAGTCAGCAAAGAAAAGAAAAAACACATACACATACACAGTAGTCAGATTTTGAGATTCCAGATATTGAAATAAAATAGAAATGTTTAATATGTTTCAAGAAATCAAACATATTTTAAAATATGAGCAAAGAATTATTTAAATAATGGTAAATAATATTAAATAACCAAGCAAGTTTGAAGGAGAACAAGATAGATCTTCTAGAACAGAACAAAATAACTAAAATTAAAATTCCTTTGAGGTATTAAAGAGCAGATTAGATAAAGAAGAAGAGAACTTTAGTGAAAAGGATGATAGTATTGAAGAAATTATCAAGAATGTAGATCAAAGAAAACAGTTATGGAAAATACAAAATGGCAGTTGAGACAGATGATATCTGCAGGGGGTTTAAGATAATAGAGAAAATAAAGAAGAAATATTTAAAGGGATAATGGCTGGGGCTCATCAAAATTATTCAAAGATATCAAACATCAGATCAAATAATTTCAGTAAATCCCAAGCAGAATTTTTTAAAACCATATTTAGACATATCATTGTGAAAATACAGAGTACCAAAGAAGAAAACATCTTAACAGTACCAGAAAGAAAACAAATCATCTACATAGTAATGACAATTAGACCAACAATCAACATCAGCTGAAATACAACTGGAATTCTATACCCAGAAAAATAAACAGTAGCAAACTAAAAACATATTCAGAGAATAAAAAAAAAAAAAAAAAAAAAAAACTGAGGGATAATGCCATCAACACATCCTCAGTAAATGAAATTGTAGACAATGCACTTTAGGTAGAAAACTATTTATCACAGATGAAAGATCAGAGTGGCCAGGATAATGGTTTAAAAATTGAGTACATAGAACAATAACATAAATAAGTAACTTGGAGGGTTAAACAATATAAACTAAATAGGTAAATATTATTGCCATTCAAGAGTCCTGTTATAAGACTCTTTTCTTTCAAATGAAAGAAACTGGACTTTTTCATTAGTATTCTAAATTGAATGGATATAAAAATTACTAATAGTAAATTTAGTAGATAAATAAAATTCAGAAGCCTTAAAAGTGTAGATACAGTGTCCCTCCCCTCGATTGTTACCAGTTATTGGGTTATGGTGTCAAGGCACACTTAATAGGAAAAAGTAATTTTAAAATATTGATATTTTTAAAACTTGGAGAGGATTGCAATTCAATGCATAGTTTGACGTAGCAATATAATTCCACTATCCTTTCTATCCTAAACACGCTAAATGTTCTCTAGTGTTTTCCCAGGCCAACACATTGCATGGAGAAAAATCCTCAACATCTACCCTGAATGCTTTCTTAACTTTTGGCTCTAAGTGAAATCTTGGACCTGCTGAGAAACACCACTACAGTTTAGCCCTCTTGGGTATCATGTTTGTTTTTCTCCCATAGTCCCACTAACCATAGGGCGTAGGAGTTGGGTAGTTGCATTTATTGCTCCTTTTTTCTTCCTGAAGAACCACAGATCTATTGAAGCCCCATTCTGTTAGATACCATCACATGCTACCCCTCTTTAAGACAGACAACTGGTAATACCTCTGTCACTTCTCTGAACATCTCAAAGATGCTATCACTTTGATGACTGACTTCTTCCCTATGACTCAGAGAGGTCAATATCCATGCAAATGATCTATCCAGTTCCCTGGACTGTGTATTTCTTTATCTCTATAATTCCAGTAATATTTCCCCCCACCACACTTCACTGGCTTTCATGGAAACACCTAAGACTTTGTCATTAACAATAACTACCAATATTCCTCTCTTTGACAACTGACTCCTATCTTTCCAGCTTACTGACTCTTATACCTTGAATCCAACAATTCTCTGACCCTCATCAAATCTTTACTGTGCATTACCTCTGTTATGCCTTCATTTCCCTACATGCTCAGGCTAGAGTCCATAGTCACTGTGATAACTTCCTAGCTATATCCATCACTTCCTTCTGTTTTTATTTTACTTTCCTGGCAAATTATAATTGGAATTAAACAAAACTCTGCTAGCTTCACATGCGCAATGTAATAACTGAAAATTGTATTTTTTTCAGCTATTAAATAGTGTTTTACAGAGTAAAACACCATTCTATGCTGACTAGTTCCACTTAAATTTATAACCTCAAATCTCATATGGATCCTTTTCATTTCCTGATAGCTAATGTTTTTTAGTTAATTCAGTCTCCCACTCTTTAAAGTATGTTTTCACCATATTCTCTCTTCACAAACCTCTGATAAGCCCTCCTTCTCTTTATTTGAAGCTAATAAACTTGCTTCTCATTCCATTGCAAAAATAAAAACACTGAGAAGAGAGCTACATTATCATCCGACTTCAAATTTTCCCTTAACTGCCTTCCCTCTTTCCTCCTTTCCAAGCTCCATCCCTCCACGTGTGCACTGGATTTTATTCCTTCTGCCTATTCAGAGACTTTACACTTGAAGTTAGTCAGATACACATGTGAACACACATACACTGTAATATACATTCTGGTGTTTAAAAAGTCTTCTTTTGATTGCACTTGCTCCTTCAGCTATTACTCAAGTCTACTCTCCACTTCATATCAAAATTCCTCAAAATTTGCCGTTCCTCATTTTCTACATTTTTTTTTTTTGCCTGTCATACTCTGTTAATCTCACTTTGTTTTTCTCCATTTTTTTCTGTAAAACCTACTCCTGTGAAGTCACCAATGACCTCCATTCTTGCCAAAGCACTAATCAATTGTATGCCCCATCTTTCTTTACTTGTCAGCAGGATTTGACATAGGGAATAAACTCCTTCTACTTGAAAATCTTTATTCACTTGGCTTTGAAGACACTATCTTCTTCTGGTTTTCCTTCTATATCTAGTGACTTCTGCTTTGTCCTTGATTAGCTCTTCTTCTTGTCAAAGTCTATGTGTCGTATTACCCAGGACATAGCTGTAAGCTTCTTAACATCTCCCCCTATTGTCCAGTGATGTGACTTTATCCTCATCCCTTGATTGAATATCAAAGATATGGTGAGGCTCCAAATTGTATATGCAGCTCTGGATCTTTTCCCTGAGCTTTAAACTTATTTATCTAACTGCCTTCATAATGGCACTTGGATATTTGAAACATGTTCCAAACAGAACTCCTGGATGTTCTCCGTATTGACCTCTTCCCTGGACTTCCCCATCTAAGTAAATGGCACTACCACTCACCCAGATACTCAGACCAACAATCTACTAGTTCATCTTGATTTTTCTCTTTACTTCAACATCCAGCATATTCAGCAGCAATCTGCGAAAACTGTAACCCATATAATGTTCCTATTTCATAATTATTCAAAAGCTCCTCATTAAAATTAAACTGCAAAGTTCCTACAATGGCACCCAAGAATCTCATGATCCACCTCTGCCTCTCGCCTCATCTGTGAATTCTCTACCCCAACTCACACTGTTCAAGTGACAGAAATGCCCTGCTCTGCCCCAACTCCACAGTTTTTTTCCTCTACAAGAAGCTGGCAATTGCTATTCTTCCTCTGGAACACTTTTCATCCTTATCGTTGTCTCATTTAATCCTGCATCTCATTAATATCACTGGGCAAATGAATCTCTCAGTGTGGCCTTTCCTCAGTGCTCCATCTCAAATAGCCTACTCACCACTCTTTCTCTCTTCTATCCTTGATATCTTTCACTTAGCAAAACTTACAACTACTAAAAATCACAATTCGTTTACTGATTTGTTTTCTAATTTCTAATTTTCTAATTGTCTAGTGTCAAGTTTCAGAAAGGTAGAGACAGATTGTGTCTTGTTTACTGCTACAGCTACACTATCTAGTACAGTGGTAGAACATAATATGGAATCCATAAAAGCTGTTCAGTGAATGAATAAATATATTTAATACGATACAGAATATATTAAAAATAAGAGAGAAACTCACAGGTAAGGAATAGATACAAGATTGGGTTGAAAAACTCTTTAATTACAAAAAGGGAATTTGTGATGCTATGCTTGAATTTTATAGCTCAGTGTAACTTCCGATTTTGAAAATTTCACATTAGATTTAAGTTTTCCCTCCACAGTTGTCTGCCTACCACCAGTAGTCAGTGTGCAAATATTCATTCCTGACCCAAGACTGATCTCTTTTGTATTTTTTTTCATTTACCCTTAGAGAATAACTAGTACTGGATAGTCAGGTAGATAAAGCAAGACAGACTCAATGACTTACTGATTTTGAAGAGTGATTGACACACTTAGAATTTTCTGAAATAGCACAGAGTGTCCCCCAGTTGTAGAAATATTTTATAATGTAGATAACTGATGAATACAAAGGAATGATTATAATCAATTGGAATAAGCTGAACCTATTAAAATTCCAAAACAAAAAAATACATAGTCCATGATGATAGTAAAAAAAAGGGAAGTTATCTTGAATCTGCCAAAAGACTATTGTTTGGCATAGATAGCTTTAATGTATGCAGACAAATTTTAAAATATAATTAATTAATACAAATAAATTTATGGGGTTCTACACAAAATTTTGGTCAACATCTAAGTTATTATCCACTCATGGTTGTTGCAGCGAATCAGACAAGGTGTTTTGTTAGAGGCTTACTGTAAAGACGGTTATGTCTTAAAAAGGAAAGGGAATATGTATAGATCATCAAAAGAGTAATTTGTATGGGAACTTCTCACAGTTGTATTTATGATTATTACACCCTATGAGAAAATAAAAGCAAATCTTAAGCTTGTTGGAAAACTGCACAGTCTATGATTAAAACACACACACACACACACACACACACACACACAATCAATCTTGTATTGATTTACTGGTGTTTTACTTCCAAGCATTAGTAAACTCTATTTCTCTTAAAAAGATAAGACATTTAACCAAATAATTTATTCCCATTTTTAATTAGTAATATTAACACATCACTGAGTTAACACATCACTCAATTTCTCATGAAACAATATTGAAGAGTGGGCCCATATTTTTTACATGAATAGAAGGTATAATTACTGTATTTAATAAGATTATTTTGAGCCTAAACACAGAAAAATAGTTGCTCTTGAGCTCATCTTGCTTCAAATGACATTTGAGACCCTACTTAGCATTCTAGCTTCCTCTTTTGCCAAAGGAGCTAAAGTGGGTGGTTTAATAGCAACAAACATAATCTAGGAAAAGTCACTAATGTAGATTCCATTGTCTTCCATTTTCATCCAGGTGGAAAATGCACAGACCTTGAGACTACCCTAACTTAGGACAGAGAACCAGATATCAGGAAGATGGGCATTAAACCCTGTACTCTTACTGTTAGACTTGGCTAGGGAGCCATGGGATATATTGGTTTCCCCATCTCTTTATTTTTTTAGCCATCTCCGGATTCTATTAAGTGAGGCCTGTAATGGGGGTCAGGAGGCCTATAGTCAAGCCCCAAGTACTATAACTTATGAGTCCTTTTACCCAAATTGTCCTAGGTCTCCTTACCTAAAAATTAAAGGGTTCTGCATGTTTTCTAAGATACTTTCCAAAATGAAAATTCTCATTTTAAACTAAATCTCAAAATTTGTATTCACTTAAAGTTTATTGTCCCTTTCTTCAAATTAAACTCATACAAACAGAAATAAAACAGAAAATAAAATTACATTTTCAATACTAAAAGATTATGTGCATGTAATAATCAGAAAACAAAAAAAATTGCTTTATAATTCATCATTAAAATAAGGTGTTCCTGATGCTGTGGCCACTTAAACGAAATACTTGATAAGCATTCATAAAAATGGTTATTCTTTCATATCACAATAGAATCTTTCAAAGTTATTACTTTCTTCCCCATGCTGGGCAGAAGCCTAACAACAAAATATCAGCGTAACAATGCACAGAGAGATCTTAGATATAGTTTATAATTTACCAGCTTTGTTGATTACTTCCAAAACAGCATGTGCTGTGAAAGGGAAATGGGTTTTACGTCAGATAGCTTTGGACTCTAATTCCAGCTCATCACTTTCCAGCTGGTGCCATTAGGCAATTAAACACCCACCAACTAATAAAACTTAAGGAGGGAAGGAAATCCTTTTCTTCTACACTGCTTTATCCCCAGGAAGGCCTGGTATATTATAAATATTTTTTGAATGAATGAACCTCTCAAACCCTCCATTTTTCATTAGATTCAGTTTTCCGTGAAGATAACAATAATGTACTGCTTTAGTTTAGAATTTTTTCAAGACAATTTCTGCGAAACCCATTAGCAGGCCCGTGACACTTAATAGGTGCTAAAAATATGCTTGTTTCATTTCCTTGACCCACTGCAAAATAAAACTGAGTCATTAAAGATCAGACATTTTTCTCAAAAATACTTATTTTAGGTTATAATACCTATAAAAGCAGTGAAACATGCCAATATATGGATTAATATCAATTGTCACTTCAAAGCTCTTGATAACGTAAAATGCTCCTTTCATTACCTTCTTATTCCTGCAATTTCAACTACTGCCATTATCTATGGGCTCTTTTGTATCATCTCATTGTGTTCATTTCTGTGTAGAGTCTCAACAGGATACTTTTCTATAAAAGTAAGCTACTTTACTAGATTTCTAGATCCTCAAGGTCAAGACAGAAATTCATATATAGTATCTGGCTGAACTATATGAAATTGCTGATATTTGGCCATTTGTGATCTATAAAAATGGTAATTTAATGTGGTCCCACCAGTAGCTAGTCAGTAAATATTTATTGTTTTAAATGTACAAATAAAATAGTAACTTTACATTTAGTTATTAATTCTCAGAATACATTGCAGAATTGGCCTAATAGTTATGCCACCAATACATAATTGTAACATAATATAAACAATAAAATAAGATCAGACAAACTGTCTTCCTCTAGTTTCACCAAAACTAAAACACAAATAATTCCTTGCTTGCATTACTTCCTTTAGATGGGATATCTTCTCCCAACCTATCCAGCAACCTCTATAACAGGGATCCCCAATCCCAGGGCCACGGACTAGTACCAGCCGGTGACTTGTTAGGAACTGGGCCACATAGCAGGTGAGCGTCATAAAGCTTCTGTATTTACAGCCACTCCCTATTGCCTGAATTACTGCCTGAGCTCTGCCTCTTGTCAGATCAGTGTCGACATTAGATTTTCATAGAAATGCAAACCCTATTGTGAGTTGCTCACGCAAGGGATCTATGTTGTGTGCTTCTTATGAGAATTTAATGCGGGATGATCTGTCACTGTCTCCCATTACCCCCCAGATAGGACTATCTAGTTGCAGGAAAACAAGTTCAGGGCTCCCACTGATTCTACATTATGGTGAGTTGTATAATTATTTCTTGATATGTTATGATGTAATAATAATAGAAATAAAGTGCACAATAAATGTAATGTTCTTGAATCATCCTGAAACCAACCCCACTTCCCTCCCTAGTCCAGGGAAAAATTGTTTTCCATGAAACTAGTCCCCAGGGCCAAAAAGGTTGGGGACCTCTGCTCTATAACATTCTTCTGCCCATTCCACCCTCCTCATTAAGATCCAGGCCAAATGCTGTCTCCTCCATAAGTCTTCTCCAGGCATGCCATTTTTCTGCTCCCACTCTGCATCTATATACATCTATCTATATACTATCTATATACATACCTCATTATAATCTAAGAATCTATTCCTATGAGTATGTCTCGCTTTTACCTAATTTGAAAGCAAGTAGCCATTCAACCTAAAATTTTTTTTTGTTTGTTTGAGACGGAGTCACGCTCTGTCGCCCAGGCTGGAGTGCAGTGGCCGGATCTCAGCTCACTACAAGCTCCGCCTCCCGGGTTTACGCCATTCTCCTGCCTCAGCCTCCCGAGTAGCTGGGACTACAGGCGCCCGCCACCTCGCCCGGCTAGTTTTTTGTATTTTTTTAGTAGAAATGGGGTTTCACCGGGTTAGCCAGGATGGTCTCGATCTCCTGACCTCGTGATCCACCCGTCTCGGCCTCCCTCAACCTAAAATTTATAGGTGCATTGAAAGAATCCTTGGCTTCTTAAGGTCTTTTCATTTGAAAATTCATAGATTTTGATTAGTAGTTCCCTTATATAAATCAGACTTTAAAAATTTGTACAATAAACCTTTTCCTGCACTTTTGCCTGAAATAGAAAATTAATTTCTGGATTATACAAAACAAACTAATGAGGGATTTTTAGGTTACGTAAAACGTAAGCAACATGGCAACTATCAGCTATGCTTACCATATCACTATGTATTATTAAACAAACGAAGCAAAACAAAGCTCACCAGTCTCCGAAGTCCTTACAGAAAGTAAAGAAGATATCTGATTGCCATGACCAAATCTGGTATAAGACCTTACAGAAATGTTATAGAGGGTGAAAGGTCTTAAGTTCCTTAATATTATGTCTGTTGTTGATGTGTTCTTCATATAGGAAGTGTCTCTATTTTTATATAGCACTTCATAAGCAGTAATGATCCCATTGGGCTTTTCAGGTGGTGACCACTTCAACCTTATTTCATTTGCGGTAACATCAATTACGTCAACATCTTGAGGTGATGATTCCGGTTCTAGGGGAAGAAAAGAAAATTTTTAGTACCTATATTTTTATTGACGCTTGTTGCTTTAGACCCTAGAGGTGGCATGAAGTGAAGGCAGTGAGCATGTACAATCACTTTTAAAAAAAATTAAAACTGCAACTGATATTCTTACCATCTTCGGGAGTTCTCACAAAGATGTCATTTTCTTCAGACAAAGAACTTTCTCCAACGTGGGTTGAGGCTGCCACTCTCATTTTGTATTTTGTGTATTTCTTTAACCCTATAAGGACAATAGACAAACTGTTTAATGTCCTTAAAATAATATTCTTGGGATTGGTATCATTTAATATAAGACCAGTAAGAATAATTTATACGGGGGACTAGCTTCCAAATAATTGCAGTCTCCTCAAATTCGTGGGCTTATAGGCCTTTCCATGTTGGTCATTTCAAATTCTTTCCTAAAATATTAAGGCAATAATTTAAAGTTGAAAAAGTAACTTTTTGGCACACTGCAGGGGGTATAGTTGACTTGGCATAAATACCATGTCAGCTGAATTACTTCAGCTGATTTTTGCAGTCGTACATTTTAGTCTTCAATAATGAGTTATTTTGATATACCAGATACAGTATTCCTTAAGTTAAGTAAATTTCTATGAGGCTTGTGATCTGATGCTTTTTACTTCTTTGTGGGTAAATCTAGTTAAAGAAAAACACATTTAATCGAGTTATGTATGCAGGTATTTTAAAAAGATATCCATGGCGACACAAAACAACAAAATATGAATTGACATAGCATGTGTTCTGTAGTATATAAGGCACAGGGAAATGGGCATATTTTCCACCAGAATAGAAATGTAAAACAAACAACAACAATAAAATGTTGTTTTCTACCTGTTATGAGAAAGCTGTTATCTATAGTAGTTATCTGGAATGCTCTGTTTGTATCCAGTTCCATTGCATAAATCGTATAGTGAGTTATTTTTCCATTGGGATATTCTGGAGGATCCCAATATAACAAAATAGATGAAGAACTAATATTTTTATAGTTTATAACTTTAATGGAGCTTGGCACTTAAAAAGAAGAATGAACATATGAATGAAAAGAAAAAGTATCACAGTGTACAACAGCAATATTTGCAGGTAATTGTTTCAAAGGAAATACATCCTTACCTTGCTCACGTGTCCTAACATTGAGAACTGTTGGTGGTCCTTCTCCCATGATGGTGAAAGCAGATACACTAATCATGTGCTCAGTGAAAGGTACAAGTCTCCTGATAACATAAGACAGCTGTTCAGCTGCAATGTCAGTAATATACTGATTCCTTGTAGTTACTGTTTGAATTCAGTAAAAAGAGAAAAAAAGATGTTTGGCTTCACAATCAAAATTATTTTTTCCTTAGACTGTAAAATCTTAAACCTGACTTCTCCTTATTCTTTAATCTCTCCATGCACATCTCTATTAAAAGTAGATGTGTAATAATAGTAAACATAAAAATATTAACTTTAGAGATTGTATTGAATATTACTATGAATTTCTGAGTACCTCCCAATAATAACCACAAACACTTTGTGCTGATAATTTTGCTAGTTTTTACACATTACTCTGAAACATGACATTAGTGTTTTTAAGAAAACATAACTTTATTAAAGAGACTGGTTAGGAATGTTTTCTGAAAAGAAAGAGTAGGCAATAATATATAATTGACATATTATAACTCAATACCAGGTTTTAGTAGAAGAGTTAAAGAAATACATAATTGAGATATTATAAATCAATATCTGGTTTTAGTAGAAGAGTTAAATAAATAGTTTTATTTGGACTCAAATTTCACCATACAGCCACACATTCAGTAAACCAAATAATTCTTCAAAGCAAGCATGCTTGGATAACTGATAAATAAATATCCCAGAAGGATTTCAAATGTTAGATTTTTGCTTTATTTAGAATTTGTGCTTCTAAAACTCTTAAGTAGCAATTAGGTCAAACTTTAAGTTTTTAAGGGAACATCTGCATCAGAAATCTTGGGACTCTTAATTTTCAGTTTTACCCTCCAGTCATCTTTGCACAAGAAAGATGGATCAGTAAGTGAAATATAAACATCTATTCAATGTAATGTGATTTTTTTTTATTAATTCTACCATAAATAGAATAACACTTTTAATTTTGAATGGGACAAATACCAAATCAGAGAAAAGGTAATAAAATGAAATATTCTTCTCATTTAACATTTTAGAAAAGGTAGAAAGAGAATATGTGTCAGGTGAGTATTTTTAATTTGCCATATATGACATTCTCCATTTAGAAACTGTAAGAGCCACTGACACTGAAGAGCAAGTGTATACACTAATGACATCACCACATCGTTGGGGTCACCTACACCTGTTTATCACACCATGCACTAGAGTTGTAACTTTCTGACCTATTTACCTTTAGTGACATTTGAAAACCTATTAGTCAAAAGCTGTAGGGAGTGTGAGGCCTGTAAATGATTTGAAGATATGTTAATCCCTTCCCATCACACCTGCTTTGGCAACTGTAATAACTGATTGTCTATGCAGCTTGGCCGGAGACTCTAGGGTGCTACTTTCTCCAGGAGGAAGGTCAAATGGGTTAGGAGGGGCCAGCTTCTGCCTGTGTGGCATTTCCATTTGTTGCATGAGGTTTTCCGACAGCTAAAAAAAAAAAAAATTGACTCCAGCCCAACAACCATTAATAATATGGCTGAACTCTACACTAAGGTTCATTTCTGTGCTAGCTAGCTCCGGTGGCTTAAATGCACTTTATAGAAAATCAAAATTCTACCTACCAACTGGTGAAGTCTGGTCTTCAGCTCTATTCCTTGCAGGAAAGTTATTATCTGGATGATTGTTATATATAAATGTAGCAAGTGAGTGAAGGTCTGATGACATCTCTGCTGAACCCTCATATAATCCTACCATTGGCTCTACTATGTTCACAATTTCTGGAGCCATGGGGTCATTTATATACTGTAATTAAAAGTAGATATTTTAAAAGACTGTGACAGTTATACTTCATGACTTAAATCAAGTATTAGTTTTAAAAACTTATCACTTTGGAATCACGCTGTTATAAAAGATAACACATTTCCATGACCACTGTCTTCTTTAGATTCCAAAATTTCATTCTCCGGCTACTAATACTCTGCATCATTGTAGCACATTGTGACCATTGTATTTCCTAGTATATTGTATATTGGGAAGGAGCAGATTTTGTTCTGACTTGAGTTAGTTTCTTTATGGTAAGATAAGATGTCCTCATGCAAAGGTTTCATGACTGAGATATTGTAACTGCTCACCCCCAAATGGTAAGTGTTCTAGGCATACTGATGTATTAGAATGTGTTTTGCTTCTCTAATTACCTGTCCTCATTTGTATACCATACATGAGAGGTCTACATGCCTGCTTGATATACATCAATGATAATAGTTTATAATAGAGTGAAGTTACATACCAGAATAAAACTGCATGGTAATATTAATAGTTTTCACACAGGATTCATGGCATACCTGTCAAGACTCTGGACTTAAGGAATATTTAAAGTAACTGCAATTGTTCCTAGATCCTATAATGTAATTCACACATGTCAAGTTCACCAAAATGGCAAATACTGAGGTGAAAACATCAGGAACAGATTATGGACGAATACGGTAGAGGTTTTTATTTAGCTAACAAGATGATTCTCATTTCTCCATCCCCACTAGCATAATTGATTGAAACAAAATGGGGAAAAGGTGTTTTGACCAAATAATATTGGATATTTGTGTAGAATGTTGACTTTGGAAATAAGACTACACATTAACCAAAGAAAATGTTGCTTTAAGGGACTTAACCAAGTACAATTTGTGGACTTTCTTTGGAGTCTAATTAGAACATACCTAATCAACACAGGATGTGAAGATAATCAAGGAAATCTGAATGTGTTCTAGGTATTAAATGATACCAGGATGGTATTAGTAATTTTGTTCATTGTGGTCATGGCATTATTCTATGGGTGAAAATGTCCATGGTTTTTAGAAATTCGTGCTTAGATATATAGGAACAAAATGATGTTAAGTCTGGAATTTATTTTAAAACCCGAGGCAAGAATGGCAGCCTATTGATGATTACTGAATCCAGGTGGCAGGTATATGGAGGCTTATTAGACTCTTTTCTCTACTTTTAAACCTGTTAGAAATTTTCCAAAATAAAATACTTTTGAAAAAAGAATATGCTGAAAAATCTACTCTCTTGTGCTAATTTTTTTAACTTCTGCTTCAAAACTTACCTCCAAAACACATTTTTTTAAAAAAATATTCTATTCCTTATCAATTCCATGCTCTTTTACCCTCAGAGTTTATAACAATTAATTCATAATATAGGTTTCAGTTGTTTATAAGTTTTGGTATATCTGTCTTTTAATTATCTTACATGTGTTGGAGTTGTCTTCACTCAGAGAGCCAAAAACAGGTTTTCTAGGCCTTAGGAACATCAAAACACTTACTAGTTTCCAAAAAATGAAAGTAAGTGCTCAGGAAAAGGTTCAGTAAAGCAAGAAATTATATGGCATTTCAGTTAACTATCTACAAAGGCAAGTTACTTAAATATTAACTCTTCTGAAAGATAAAAGAATGGAGAAATGAGTCAAAAAATTTTCAGTCCTCTGAATATTTACAAAACGTAATTGTCTAAATCTCATTACAACTCTACCCAGAAAAGTGTTGTCATGAAAAGCAGCAGGTTTCCCATAAAAACTACTTTTTAAAAATTGTGATAAAGAGCTATGGATAGGGAACTCTATATGGGTTTGTTCCTATGTCCTTGTAGAGGACAAAGTAAAGGTCTTCTATCTTACAACAGCTCACTTCAGCGCTGCCTCCACGGGGAAATTAGGGAGGGCAGGAATTACAAACACATAACTCAGAGAAGCTCTGGTGTTGCAGTCAATACTTTATGCCCAAACCACACAGCTGTTTCCACTATCAATCAGTCACCCTTTGAAAATCTACTGTATACAAAGCACTATAGAATGAACTATAGTGAGGTAGTACAAAGAATTTCCTCCCAACCATGGTTTTGCATTAAATCTCTCAATATTTTCTATCCCATGCCAGACAAATTATTGAGGAATAAAGCATAGCATCCCATCAATTACATATGTTAAGCATCTCTGCTGACAAACTGCCATTTCAAAGTGAGAGTTGACCTGAATGCTTTTGACTATGTGAATGACTCCCAAATTCTGATATTCTGACATTAGAAAAATCCTCCATAACTTGGGCAATGATTTGAACATTGGCTTTGTAATAACCCAGAATGTTATCACTAAGTGTGTCCTGTTGCGAATATTTCTCACACTTAACCTCTAAAGAAAAGACATTAGGTTAGATGTTAGTCAAGTTTTCCTAATGATAAAAAAGTAATAATATTAAAAGCAAAAATGTTAGGAAAAAATTTGGATTTAAGAGAGTAGTGGGAAGGGGCAGAGAGAAGCAGCAGTAGAAATGAGAGAAATAGGAGGGAAAAACGTCCATTGCAACACCTAAAAATTCCCAACTCACTGCTACTACTGACATTCTGAATTAGATGTTTTTCTGTTGCGGGGCTGTCCTGTACATTGTAGGATGTGTAGCAGCTTCCCTGGCCCCCACCTACCTTAGCTGTGACAATGAACATGTCTTCAAAGATTAACAAATGTCTCTTGGAGAGCAAAATTGCCCCTGGTTGAGAACCATTGAGTTAGGGAATGTCACAATTTGTCAACATGAAAGGCCTTGCATATGCTGCCCAGGAATTCTTGGAATTTATGTGAAAGAATTAAGAGTCTTCAGAGTTAAATTCCTAATCCACCTGAATAAACCAACTTGATTTTACATGTAATAATCTTCATCATAGTGAATGTGATTTTATTTTCTAAAAAATTATATCTATCAGTTTAGGGTCACTGGAGGTCTGCTGAATTGAATTAATGAAATGTTTGACTTATTCTTAAGAAATGCTTCTATATGTTAATGTACACTATAACATGATTTGTGCTGTTATCAAGAAGTGGTAAAAAGAAAATTTTTTAATCAGCGTACGCTTGGAAATCTTCTAAAGGACGCCGTATTGTTCAACACATTATTCAGGTGAGCAAATCTTTAAGTCTTGACTATGTTTATGTTCCTAATGCTGAATAAAATAAACTTATCTCAAGGCATTGCTAAACTACTTTTGGGTTCTGTCCTCAGCCTCATTCCTAGCAACCAGCCAAGCATTTAGCACAAGACTTTCTTCTTCCGTTCACCAGTGACAAACATTGATATTCTCAAGGAATACGTTGGATGAAAAGATGCATCTATATGAATCTCAGAAGTCTGTAATACTAGACAGCAATATGTCTATTGGAGAAAAATGTCTCAGGTTTCTAATAGAACAAGTACTGGATGGGATCTGACTGAAGTTCAAGCAAAGAGCAGTCCATGGAAATGACTTCAGGGTTTTTTAGACTTCAGTCTCAGTGGAATGAGGCTCCCAATGAAATGATCGTTTTTTATTTCACTATTTTGAAAGAAGGAAGAAATTTACATCGAAGGAGAAAATAATTATGCTCAATTTGGCTCCCTTCAAACTACATACAGAGTATTGTGTTCAGTTGAGTAAGAGGATCCTTGACAAACTAGAAAATATGCACAGGAATATAATCCATGATATAAGGGACCTAGAAGCCATGACTAACAAAAACTAAGGATATTAAGTCTTTGGAAAACTCTGACCACTATCTTCGATGAGAAAGAGTTAAATCATTGTTTATTATTGTTGTCACTGCAAAGGCTAACGTTTTAAGCTTCTGTGTGTTACAGAGTGTTAAACACTTTTATTCATTTGAACTTGCTTTATTGTACCCCAAAGAGATAGATTATTTTTATCTCCATTTTACAGTCATCTGTTCAAGTTCACAAAACTGGTGACAGCCAAGGTAGGATTGGAACATTTTTCCTGGTTCCAAAGCTCATGTTCATAGCCACTATAATCTACTGTATTGGTCTAGAGAGGAGAGTTAGGACCAACTGATGAAAATTAAAAGACAAATATTTCAGTTCAAAGTAAAAACAGCATCGTTTCTCATTCATCTATGGGTTTCTGTGTCTAACAGAGTACCTAAAACCTCATGATTACTTAAGAAATAGATCCTTGTGGGACCATAACAAAGAATATTTCAAAGCTTATAGGATAGGAGTTACTTTTGCAGTGGTAGATATCCTATAATAGTTGATAAAATATTTTAGCAGAGGTTGGATTCACATCATTTATTAGGAATGTTATAGATCAGATTCATATGTACGTGTGGAAGTTGAAATAAAATATCTCAAACCCTGAGACTCATTTTGCTAATGTAATTTTCAAATATTTGTTTAAATATTAAAAGTAAAATTTTATACATATTTCAGCTTATTTAAATAATCCATATTTATTCAGAAACAAATAGATCATGGGAGTCACTGGAATAAAAAACTCAATAAGGGTAATGAGATCAAATCATGCCTAGCATAGGAGGGTTATATTATATTTTTAAGTTTAATAATCATGATATATGTACATGGCTACAAAAAAAAAAAGGATGATGAAGGGTTTATAATGAAAATGACTATTCCCTGTTTGTACCTACCCTACCTCTTACTTCCCAGAAGCAACACTTTAAACCACTCCTGTTTTCACTTCTTACGGTGTTTACTTTTAAAATACTCAATAATATGCATATGCTGCTCTGTTAATACTCATTTATTTTAGAATCTATTGAGTTTTTGCAATGATAGTGAAGAGTTAGGTTACTTAAATACATATATACCTTCGTCATCTGTTCTCAATTCTTATTAGGTTACTTTCATAATGTAAATAATATACTTAAATCCAGAAGGATTATTCTAATAGGTGCTTGAAATATAAAATAGTAGGCTGGGGGAGTGTAGTGCATGGCCTCTCAGGTAGATACCCATTATACCCACCTCCTGTTGTTCCTGCTTTGCAAAATCTCCTCTTCTTGAGTGAGTTGGGACCTATGATTTGTATCTAACCAATAGAACAAGGCAAAGGGCATAACATGTCTCTCCCATGATCACATTATATAGACCCTTCTTACTGGCTTGATGAAGTAAATGGCCATGTTGAGAAAGGCCACATGCAAAAAAAAAAAAACTGTAAGGCACTAAGAGGAGTCTCCAGCCAAGAGCCAGCAGAATCCAGGGCCCTTAGTTCTAAAGCCAAAAGGAAATAAAATCTGCCAAAACCTGAATAAGGCTGCAAGTGGATTCTTCCCTAGTCAAGCCTCCAGATGAGAACACAGCTCAGCTAGTTTCTTACTTGCAGCCTTATGAGACTCTAAGAGGAGAACCAATCTAAGCTGTACTGAGATATCTGACCCAAAGAAACTGTGCGATTATAAGTACAAATTGTTTTAAGTTGCTAAGTTTGTGGAAAATTGTTATGGAACAATGGAAAACTAATATAGTGAGATAACAGTAGTCCAGGCGAGGGATTATGCAATCCTGAGCTGAAGTGGGAGATACAGAAATAAAATAAAGACATATGCAGGTCACATTCTGGACGTAGAAATAACTGATCTAAACATTAAGTGGCTATTGAATGCTAAGTAGGATCTAAGTCAGAAGTGACTCCAAGGTTTCAAGCCTTCATGACAGAGAGAATAACGGTTCCATTATCCAAAAAGACAAATATCAGACGTATATAAATGCCATAAATGCTCACTCTCAAAGTCTTCTGTACCATGGTTTCTTAGACAATGATCTTCAGGTCTGAGATCTGTGTTACGTACAGTCAGAGGGATTAGAAAATTCTAAACCCAGGTACCAAGGCTACAAGTCAGCCTCTCTTTAGGCCTTATTCTTGACATACTGAAACTAGTAATTGCCTGGACAGACCTTATGGGTGTCCTGTGGGAACCTGCACAGGTCACTGTCTCTGTCCCAATATCTCTGTCCTCATTCCCATGTCACATCTTCCTTCCCATCATGAACCAGGCCCTATTATCTCAAATAAGATTCCTGTTTCATTTTATGGGGAGAAAGTAATTTAGATGTAATGAGCCTGGCAGAACCTTCCCACGAATGGCTGCAATTAGGAATCCAGAGTGTCAGAGAGAAGGATCAGAGTAGAAAGCAAGGCATAAGAGTCAGACAAATAGGAAGCAGTGATTGAAACTGTTAGGTCATCAAAAGAAAATGTTATGAGATGGCTGAAACCAAAGCTCTGTGGAACATCTTTACTAAAATGTTAGAAAAGAGTTAACTTTTTGAACTATCTTCATTTTTAATTGTGCAAAGCCAAAGGATTACAATGTCATAGTATATAAAAGTGCAGAAAATATTAAGGAACAAATAGTGCCAAAAGTTGAAAAGTGGGGGGACAGAGGGATGGATTTTGAAGGAGATAAGAACACAAGGGTGGTTAAAAATATTTAATCCTTGTATTGGACACTGGGGAGGTCACTGGTGACTTCTAATAAGACTTCAAGGATTTAAAGAGTTCTTGAGTTGCAGAACGAGGCTACTTTTTCAGAAGATAATAGAAATGAGAAGAGAGAGTCCTTACCCTGAGAGAGGTACCAAGGTCAAAGAAAGGAATAACAAATGAAGAACACACTAAGCCAAAAGTTGTATTTCTTATGTCATTTACTCCCAACCCTGTAAGGTGGCTATATAAGCCCTATTATAAAAATGAAGGCATCAAGTCTCCAAAAGTTGATTTGTCCAAGGACATAGGCGTAGAACATGGCAGAGCGAGGCCAAGAACCCACGGCCATTTGGATTTAAAGCTTCTGTCATATCTGTCTCCCCACATCAATCTCCTGAAAGGTAAACCCAAACACCAGTTACACGGGGAAGTAGAAATATCAGAAATGAGTCTGATCTAGTAAAGAAAGATATAATCAGAGAAATAAAGAGAAGTACAATGTCTCCTTTCATTAAGAGAGGATAAGGGAAGTAATATTGGGAAGCTACTAAAGTGGATGATCCTATGCCAAGATTAATGATCACAATAGGTCACAATTATTTAGCACAGCACTTACTATATGCCAGGTATCGTTCTAAGCTCTTTATACACATGAACCCATTAAATCCTCATTATTAACCCTTTGTTATAGGGACTTATAATCACTATCTTATAGAAGAAGAAACTGATGTTCAGAGAGCTCAGGCCAACTTCCCTGGGGTTAAACAGTTAGTAATGGCAGAACTAGAGTTTAAACCTGGTTTACACTCTTAACCACTTGCTATATAGCCCAGTGAGAGACAAAATCATAATTCAAATCCAAATTTGTATGTCTCCAAAGCTCATGTGCTCTCTACTATGAGACGAGAATTGCAGACCAAATAGAGACAGAAACACACACAAAAAAAGCCTTTCTAGAACCTCTTAGCCTAATAGAAAAACAGGTGTGGCCGCCCATTCAATAGATGTCATTAGCAGAAGTGGGAAACCTGTCATCTAGTACTAAGAAAGCTCAGTATCTAATTTAAGACCTTCTCAGCAGGAGCAAAGGGTTAAGCTTTTGCCCTTTGCCTGAGTTGTCAACTAGAGTATCACAGAAAGCATAATTCAACATCTTTTGCACAGAGGAAAGGAATCAACATAGGATTAAAATTTAACCCTGGGTTGAAGGTGGTGAGCAACTTGGAGTGGTAAGTCCTGGGTGGCCAGAATGCATTGAGCACATGGTAAGGTCAACTGTCACGTACAGGTAAGTGCCAGAAATAGAGGAAGGCTGGGACTAGAAATAGAATGAAGGCACGTGTGGGGAAAAATAACAGCACAGGTAGAAGCAGCAGCAACTCTGAAACAAAACAGCAGATGCCAGGGGCTGAATAACTATCATGTTTGTCTTTAAGGCCCAGTGATTGCTGCACTGGTCCTAAGAATGTTTATTCTTTGAGTGCCCCAGGGAGCAGCCAGTATCTGGACATGACTAGCCTGGAGGCTGAAAGGGTCTCACAGGTGAACAGTTGGTGAGGTGAGGTGAACAAAGACAGTGAAAAGAAAAATCAGTGTTGCCTGTACTTCCTAACAGAAACAAAAGGAAAAAAATAAGACTTCCAGTGTGAATAGAAGCAAACACATTGCCTAAAGATCCTGGTCCTCTTATTTAAAATCTAGGAAATAACTTAAATTTATTTTATTTAGTAATGTGATTTCTTAATCAAATGTAATTTTTTTTTTTTTTTAAAAAGAGGCAACTCTGAGAAATTTAGCTTCCCAAGACCAAAGAGAACAGAATCATTTGTCAACAACAGCTACTAAAATTACTGTGCCCTTCACTGGCAACTGTTCCAAATTGCAAGCACAGCCTTTAAAGGAGTACTTAAATCATAACAGGAGTTTCCAAACAATTCATTAACTAATTTAGAATAATAATATTAACTTATGAAAATACCTTTAGTCCTGTTTAATTGCACAATTAACATTTTTCATACGATGAAAATGAATAATAGCACTTAACTGATAATATATGACCTAAAATGAAATATGATCTAACTAGATTATGAACATGCCCCAAATTTACTTTACTTTGTACTAGTAAGTTGTCACATATTTTATATGTGGGTGCTAGCAAATCTTCAAAGGTATCAGAGCCAGAACCAAGTAGAAAGGGCTCGCCAATAAGTGAAATAAAAATGCAATACCTCATTATTTCCTCTGAGCAAAGTATTTTCCAAAATTATTCCTGTCTCTGGAACTAGCACTTTCACTCGGTATTGGTTAATAATTCCATTTGGTTGTCGTGGTTTCTTCCAAGTAATTCTTACTTGCGTGGCTTCTACCTCTGCAAGTTGTAAATCAAACACTGCCCCTGGAACTAAGAAAGAAAGAAAGAAAAGAAAAAAGGGGGAATTTAAAAATATTTTTTCAAGTGAAAAAAGTGCCTACATTCTTAGCTCACAATTTAAGATATATAAACAATTTTATTAGAAAATAGACGAGGTTGGGTGCGGTGGCTCACGCCTGTAATCCCGGCACTTTGGGAGGCCAAGGGAGGCCAATCACCTGAGATCAGGAGTTCAAGACCAGCCTGACCAACATGGTGAAACCTCATCTCTACTAAAAAATACAAAAATTAGCCGGGCATGGTGGTGCGTGCCTGTATTCCCAGCTACTCGGGAGGCTGAGGCAGGAGAATTGCTTGAACCCAAGAGGCAGAGGTTGCAGTGAGTGGA